TTTCATTTTTCTACATAACAAGGCCTCTGGAAATGTCAGCTACCATGTTTTCTGCAGCAGTTCAACAATCTTATCAAATACTCAGCTTTTCTCTAGCTCAGCTATCCTTAGCATGTTTACTTTTCATACTATGTAGTTCTTTGAAAAAAATCACTACTACAACTCCAATAATTATATTTTCAAGCAATAAAGCCAATTTTTTGTTTCCTTTTTTCCGTTGCTTTTGTTTTCATCAGAGGTCAAAATCTTTCTCATAAGCTCCCTCCCACAGCATACTTTCTAATACATCTGATTAGTTAGAACAGGGTCAAATACTTATCTCTAAATGAATTGCAAAAAAGGGGGAATTAAGTCAACATTTGTATTAGTCAGCTTTCACTCCAATAATGCAGCTAAAGGAACACACTAACATGTCAAGAAAAATATATTTGTTGTTGCTTGCTCATGAGTTTGTAGATCAGTTACAACAGTTCTACGTCAGTGGGTGAGGTTCAGGTGTGTTTCATGAGTACTCATTTATGGACCCAGGTTGAAGCACAGAAACTGTCTGGGACATATGATTTTCATAATTCAGGACAGGAATGCAAGAGGAGAAGCAGAAATACATGATGCTTTTTTAAAAGTTCTGCTTAAAATAGGCACACTCTCACTTCTACCCACATTTCATTGGGTAAAGCAATCATACAGCCAAGCCAAAGTCAATGAGATGAGAAGTGTTCTCTTCTCTCGCTGAAGCATGCCCAGTGTGGGGAGCGAACAAATAATTATGAACCAGCAAGGCAATCTACCACAGCATTCATGGCTTAGACCAGTCACGATTCATCCCAGTGGATTTCTCCATTGGGAGAGAAATCCAAGTTCTGTGAACTTGTTGCAACATGCACAAAGTATGAATATTATAAACTAAGGAAAGAAGGGATTGTGGTTATTGAGTAGACAATCATCATTATCTAACATGGTTCATATCAACCTCGTGATGAGTATGCCTGGGCTGGAGAAGAGAGTGGATGGGCAGAGACCACTGTGAGGCAAGAATGAAACAGTTCTGTGTTGACATCTT